GTGGAAGAAATGAACCTGCCTGCAAGGCAGAGAGAGTGCCGGAGGGGCCTTCGCTTCCCAGCGCACCTCCCTCCCCGGGCTCTGGGCTCTCAAGTCCTGGGGGAGCGGCCCCTCTTCCTCCCTCTGACCGGCAGGCCACTGTGCCCCCTCCGACCCCACCCAGCTTGGCCCCTCCAGACAGGGGTTGCTGAGGCCGGGGTGGGGAGAACAGAGGTGCCCTTTGTCCAGGACACCTTTTGCCCATGGCACCCTGGGCGTGGCGGGGCCTGCCCCTGTGGAGCGGGTCTGGGAGCACCCCAGCAGGGAGGGGGACCCACGCGTGGCTCCATCTTGGGTAACCCCTACTGAGAGGTCTTGGCAGCTCCATCCCGAGGGTCCGGTGCCTGCTCCGTTGGCCAGCTGCCCAGCACAGCCCAGGTGGATGTGAGCGCCATCTGGTCCTGGTATGCACAGCAGGGGTGTCTGCCCCTGAAACAGCAGGTCGGCCCCCAGATGAACACTTGGACTGGCCTGAGAGCCTCCCTGCGCGCCGCCTGGCCAGGCCGAGACGGGGGTCCCAGCTGTACGGGTGGGGCGTGGGGCCTGGGCCAGCCCCTCCTTTTCACGCACACACAATTTGTCCCCGAGTCCCGGTGACAGAAAAGCTGAGGCTAATGGGAAGAATATTACTCTTTCAGCCGTGGCGCAGCACACGGCACATGCTGGGAATCCTTGTCTGAAACAAACCCGATCCTTGGAATTGGACCTCCGGGTTCCCATGACAACCAGCCCCCTCTCCTATCCAGCGGCTGGAGTCTCGCGGATTCTGGTCACCTGGCTGGCTGCCCATACCCACAGACGCTCTCGAGGTGGGATGGCCGGTGCCCACCCTGGCAGCCTCGGCCTGTCCTGGCGCCTCCTCCTCCAGCCCCCAGCCCAGCCCAGCCTGGCCCGGCCCCACCTCCCGTCTGCCCCTAGGGCTCCCCTTGTCCCCCACCCAGCACTGGGGGTTCTGCTTGGTGGGCAGTCCTAGGCCTGCCGCCTGTAGACAGAGGGTGTGGTCGGCCATCCTGCTCCCAGACCAATGAACGTGTTGGGTGGCGTGGCACGGGGAACAAGGATGCTGAAGGAGCTAAGGTTGCTCAGGGGCTGACCTGGAGACAGGAGATTGTCCTGGATTATACCGGTGGACCCAGTGTCATCACAAAACCATTGCCGTTGAGTTGGTCCTGACTCACGGTAGCCCCATGTGTCAGAGTAGAACTGCTGCATAGGGTTTTCCTGACGGACACAGATGGCCAGGTCTTTCCCCCGGGAGCCACCTGGTGGGTTCAGACAGTAGCCTTTCCTGTTAGTAGTCAAGTGCATTAACCGTTTGTGTCACCAGGGACCTCTATAATCAGAACGCGGAAGACGAGGCAGATGAGGGGAGTCAGAGAAGGATGGGATCACCGCTGCTGGCTTTGAAGGTGGAGGTGCCACGAGCCAAGGAAAGCTGGCGGCCTCTGGCAGCTGGAAAAGGCAGGGAAACGGACCCTCCCCTGGAGCCTCCAGAAGGGACCAGCCTTGCAGGCACTGTGACATCTTGGACTTGTTCTGCCAGACGGGACGATGTATCTGCTGTTCTGAGCCAGCAGCATTGGTGTGACTTGCCACAGCAGCACAGGAGGTAATGCAGAGGGGTCTTACCCACCCCACGACCTGGCCCTTTCCTCCCACCATGGCCCCAGCTCCTGGGTGGCTGCTGTCCCCCAGGACCTCTCCCCGGTTGCACCCATGCCATGCGCCTGTGCTGCGGCTCTCATGTCTTGGGAACAAGGGAGGACAGGCACTCAGGTGTCAGAGCCACGTGGGGCTGGAGGTGCCAGCATGTGTGGGGGGCAGTGACATCACCCAGGAGCCGCTGAGCCTCTCCAGGTGGGGACCTCGCCAGTGGTGACCCCGAGCCCTCGTCTGGGCAGTGGCCATGGCAGGGACGATGGTGCGGCCGGCCTCAGCACTGGGCAGCTGCATGGACCTGTCCCCAGGAGCACCCCAGCCCCCACCCAGGGGTGCAGCAGGGTCTCTACACATGGCCTCGGTCTGAGTGCATGGGTTAGGTCTGCTCCTGCTGCCTGAGGCTCCATCTCTTGTCTGGGGGTAACGGAGCCATCCCTTGCTGCCTCCAGGGCCGAGAGAGGTGTAAGGACCACCGAGATGACCCCCAGGACCCTTGGGCAGCCGTCACTGTTCACACCCCTACCCCCACCCCCTGGTCACCTGACTGCACCGCCATCAGCCCTGGACACCCTCAGCAACACTCCCGGCCCCCGCAATGACCCTGGGGCTACTCCTGGCTCCGGTGGCAATGCCCCATTCCTGAGGAAGCTCTGCGGGCTGGCCCTGGCCTTCGGAACGGTCAGGAGTTGGGTGACGGCTGTGAGGCCGCAGGGCCCGGGCACACCAAGCAGGAGGATGCTCGGGCCCTGTCGGCTCGCTCATCCATTTGGGTGTTTTCTTGGACAAACTGTCCACACCCAGGGCTGGGAGTGCTGCCCCAGGGAGGTGCAGGCGCCTTTTGCTGTCCACTCCTGCTGACAATGAGCAAGGACATCGCCTGCCCGAGGGACACAGCAGGCCCCAAGCTCCGAGGCGGGTCCCCTGGGGACAGGCCTGGCTGTCTGCAGAGAGGACTGCACCCGGGCTCCCATGCGCCCTCTGCCCCCACACTCCTGCAGCCCGGCTGGAGCCGAGCCTCCGGGGTTGGGGGGGAGGTCACAGTGGCGCGGAGCAAAGCGACTCGACTTGCAGCCAGTGTGGCAGACACAGCCTTTCCCCGAAAGACGGAGCCCAGCCAGTCCCTCCGCGTTCACGTTTATTGACGGCTTATCCTTTGCGCTCACTTGCATGTGTTTCCAAAGTCTCTCACTTCGCATTTCGGTAAAATAAATAGAGACAAGGGAGCCTTTAGGTCGGCGCGCTCTTGCGCCCGGTCAACTTCATGATTGAGTTTTCGCATCAGCCCTGTGAACACCCGCCCGGGACAGATGTGCACCCACCCGTGCGGCCCCCATGGGCTCCAGAGCGGACCGCGGGGCCGAGTGGGCAGTGGGGCGCAGGCGGCCGAGGTGTGGGGCCTCCCCCGCGCGCCGCCTGCTGTTGGCAGGGATGGTTTTTGTGTCAGAACAAACAGATGCGCACGAGGTTAGGATCAGTGAGTCAGCTACTACTGGGTCAGTGTCTGTGGGCAGAGCTAAGCTTCTGGAAGGACCCAGGCCACCCCCTGGGGCCCCACACGCTGACTGGGGCTGTCCAAGCTAGTGGTCCTGCCTGGAATCCTGGGGGCCAGTCTCTCAGGGTCTTTCCGACTCCTCGAGGCTCTGCCCCCAGAACATGGCCGCCCAGCTCCAACACAGACACCCAGGCCACAGTGCCCAGCCCAGCACTGCTCACCAGTCACTCTGGGCGAGGGCAGAACCGTCACCCCAACACCAGGGAGCAGATGTCCCTTCATGACTGTTATTCATAATCCCACGGTTGTGGGCCTTTTACTGGCAGACCCCACACCTGTCTGCTGAGTGCTCAAGATTCCCAAGAAAAAGGGAGAAACACTTTCCAAAGTATCAGCGTTGCACCTCTGTTTTGTTTTCAAAGCACTGTCGGTCTGCAGCCACTCAGCCGGGTCTCTGGCCCTTCCTGGGGGGAGTTAGCACACAGCTCCCCTCGGCTCACGCTCGCACGCACACACCCACACTGGCACCATGTACACACATACACACGTGTGCACCCACCCACATACACACCCACCCACACTAACACGTGCACACTTGCCACACTAACACGTGCACACCCACCCACACATCCACACGTGTGCACACCCACACTAACATACACGTGCTCACCTACCCACCCACACTAACGTGAAGACGTGCACACCCACCCACACCAACACACACGTACACTTGCCTGCACTAACATGCACACACGTGTGCAGACGCCCAGACCCACAGTGCACGCTCGTGTGCACACATGTGCACTTAGTGCAGACATGCACACCCACACGCACACCCGCAGACACCGACACACACCGAAGCTTCCCCAACGAGCTCCTCTGCGCGGCAGACTGCCAGACGCTTCAGTTACACAGCACGTGGGACAAAGGGCTGGAGGGCCGTCACCCGGGAACGCAGCCTGATGTTGACCCACAGCTGCTCTGGGGGGATCTAGTGCCTTGGTATCCACACACGTGTGCAGGCCTGGGCGGGGACTATGGTGCTCACACATACATGTTGACACGTGTGTAGGACAGGTAGGGAGAAGACTGGTGTCTGCATGCATGTGCGCATGTGTACTGGACCGGGTGGGGGGCTAGAGTCCCAGCACATGCATGTACATGCGTGTGTGGACCTGAGTGAGGGGCCGTGGTCCCCACACATACATGTCACGCGTGTGCCAGGGCTGGGCAGGGGAGAGCAGCGTCTCAGAGAGAAACCAGCTGCGGGGGGAGGCAGTGGCCAAGTGACCAAGGACCCGCCTATCTGTCCAGGCCACAGGCCTCACTCCTGCTGTGACTGCCATGAGGGGCTGTGACTGGGAGCACAAGTCCCGCCCGGCAGGGGAGTCTGCCAGCTCGCCGGAAGGGACACCGGGAGGGACGCCGGGCCCCGGGTGCGCGCAGCTCAGGGCGGCGTTTCCACCTTCCCTTTGTGGCCTCCTCATCTCCAGCCTCCTCCCGCCTGCTCCGGGCGCTCCCGGGTGCACGTGGGCAGCATCTCCTCCTCACTCGCTCGCTGGGTCTCGGCCAGACAGGGGCGGCATGGGGCCACCAAGCTCCAGGCTGCCTGTCTGCCAGGACAGGAGCCGGCCGCCCTGTGCTCCATCAATGGAGAACGACACAGCTGTGCTGCCCCGTGAAAGGCCTCAGGAGAAACACCCAACAGGAGAGGGGCTGGCCGTCCTCAGGCGGGGTCCTGTGTTCTCAGCCGAGCGGCGGCCGTGCCACTGGGCCAAAGTGACAGCCGTAGCCCTCCCCTCCTGGACTTCCTGGACGTCACAGCGGAGCTGGAGTGCAAGTCGCCTCCCGCCAGCAGCTCAGTCAGGACTGAGGTGACGGCACGTGCGGGCAGCCCCGCGCCCCGGCTCCCTCTATGTACACGGCGGGGCAGCCGGCAGGGCCGGGCCGCTATCTGACGCGCTTCTCCACTGAGTACACGGAGAGGTAGTGATCATTGCTTCCGACCGCCAGGTGAGGCTGCAAGAGAGGCAGGGGTGAGGGGCGGCCGGGAGCTGGGGACGCTGCACCCCGAGACAGAGCAGGGGTGAGGGGCGGCCGGGAGCTGGGGACGCTGCACCC